GGACAACATGGGGACCAACATGGGGACAGCGCAGGGACAACATGGGGACAAACATGGGGACAGTGCAGAGACAACATGGGGACAAACATGGGGACAGCGCAGGGACAACATGGGGACAGCGCAGGGACAACATGGGGGCAAACATGGGGACAGTGCAGGGCTAACATGGGGACAGTGCAGGGCTAACATGGGGACAAACATGGGGGCAAACATGGGGACAGTGCAGGGCTAACATGGGGACAGTGCAGGGCCATCTCAGGGAGAATGCAGGAAGAATGCAGGGACAGCAAAGGGACAATGGGGGACAATGGTAAAGACCCTACAGGCAGCACGCTCTGTGATCCCCACTACATTCATATCAGCGTCAACTGTATACTAAGCAGGTTTTTATGCATGGAATTGTGATGGTTCAGAAGTGCGTGGGGGGGGGGGGGGATTCACTTTGCACAGAATTAAACCCTGAAAATGGTCAGAAAAGATGTTCAATCATTCATAGTGTGACTTCTCAATCACAAACCCCAACCGACACTTGAAGAAAGCTCCAAAACATAATGGAAAAGACATACCAACCACAAATCATGTATGTTAGAAATAAAAATTAAAATATCAGACCTTCCTCTCACTCGGTTACAATGAATTTAGCTCATGTTTCATATAATATTAAACATATAAATATATAAACAAACCAAGTGAAAACCCAAAGGAAAACGAAAACGAGCCAATCGAGGGTTCAGTGCCAGCACAGACGGAGTGTCCTTTGCCACAACCCCCTGTTCAGCCTGATGCCTACGGAGACCCTGAATCTGATGCATGCACAGCTCACTGGAAATGTACCAGCGACTCTTACAAGCTTGTCATGTGGCATCTCTGAATGTCAGCAAAACGCATCCTTTTGGGGGAAGGTGATGAAACGCTAAGCGAAATATAACAGCTCTCTGCTTTTGACACCCTCAGATAATATTGTTGAAGCCCCCTGATGCCCCTTTGGCTAGGAAGAGGACAGGCCCCACTAAAGTCAGCCTCGAGAGGGGTGATAGCAGACTCACACACTGTGTGACGTGACCGGTATCTATCCCCCAAACAAACACTGCCCCCGGTGGCACGAGTCGGTGGTGTCATTTCATAGACCCACAGAAGAATAATTCTGTTACATCTTTGAAAAAGAATCCCTTCCACTGGTCAGTATGCTCAGGCTGTTTTGCTAGAAGAATTAAGTTTCAGTAAATATTCTCCTCGGGGGTGTCCTGTCTGGGCAATCCCAGCTTCACCCACTCATGGGGCAATTATTGAATCATTATAACACACAATCTGTTCCGCCTTGATTTTTGAAGTTAATCAAATTTCCATATGGTGCAAACATTGTCATCGTTCATCTTCGTATGACCTGCTAATGACTTTATTTTGTGCTGCGCGTGTGCGATATTAAAACCTTGCTTACTCGCCTTGTTCATGTATTATTCATTACTGTGCAGCAAAGGTCAACATCATCGTCTTCTAGCTTGTACCATAAAAATGAATAATCATGGAGAAATCCATAGACAATTACAACTATTTTCCTACATGATCCAGTAAAAAAATTATATTAAAAACAAAATCTATGATAAAGGAGCACATTCCAATAATTTGGATTAATGCGAAATATGAGACTCGCCTTTTTCTCTCACTGGTTCCCATCTTTTAAGGATGATTATTAATATTTTAGTGTTTATTGGTCACTGTCTCTTTATATTGACTAAAACAAAAAAAATGCAGAAAAATTCAGAATTAAAGCTACAAATGAACTTATTTATAATTTACCTCCGTAAAGTAGCAAACTCCAAGGTATGAATCTGCTTACTCAGCACCTCAGAAATAAAGAAAGTTTGAAAGCGTGTATGTTGGTTTCCTGCTGGAAAGACTAGAGAGTGCAGGCATTGGATGAGCGAAACACGACTGCACATCATAATATAACAGTGTTAGCATGTGGGCTTGCCGCCCTCAGCGACAACATACTACACTCTTTGTATGTATCACGCTCCCAGAATGTGACTTTGACTACTAAGCTTGACTACAGTGTTTCTGTATGACGTACATGTGATAAAGCAACATCAGAATTTACTTTATCATACATGGCATCCAAAAATTAATGAAGAGAAATTTACTGGTTAACTGTTCACCTTCGGAGTGCACGCTACCGGTCAGCTGGGCCGCAGGTCGTCACCTCCGGAGTGCGCGCTACCGGTCAGCTGGGCCGCAGGTCGTCACCTCCGGAGTGCGCGCTACCCGTCAGCTGGGCCGCAGGTCGTCACCTCCGGAGTGCGCGCTACCCGTCAGCTGGGCCGCAGGTCGTCACCTTCCCCACACGCGCGGGGACCCCTAACAGAGCCCGAACTGACACTCTGGGGTGCTTTTTTTCGCACCATTAGCAACACTTCACTCCATCTCCATTCATAACGAACATTCACTGAAGGGAAAGTAAATGAGTTAAGATCATAAAGTTAATTAAATTAGTGGCAAGATTATTCTCAGACATGACTACCAGCTCCCTGAAGGTATTATTGCGCTTAGCGCTTTTTGCGCTCTTTATTAGATATTTCCTTATGGGGCCAGCGAAAAACACACAAAGTGCCCGGCCCAGAGACCCCTTTCATGCACAGTGTTCAATGTGAGGCCTCCAACCGTTGCTTGGTTTCCATTATTTCGCCCCCCTCCCCCCCTCCACTGCCCACCCCCAGTCCCAAACAGTCGTCGTCCCCTTAATGTTGTAAAAGTCACTACTTGCCCAAGTACCTCCACCTCAGCAATATTACATTAACAAGCTCACGGTCCAGGGTCACGCTCCCGCAAGGTTATCACGCACTATAAACCGGTATTTAATAGCTCAAGTCAAGAACAGATTAGTTTGCGTCACAACTACAATAGCCTTAAACGCTTCAAGGCGGTATTTTATATATTTCTATAAAGATTAACGTCACTTTCATATTGCTGGGCCCACTCACATTTGCCATATTTCGATAAATATGTTGTCATATACAGATTAATTTATGTTTCATACTTCAAGGGCATGTGCGTTTTATAGGTTTCACGGCAGCCAAATACACGACATGTAACTTAATAGGGGTTGGTGTGGCGTGAGTCACACACGTGAGATCGCCCCCCCATGACCTTTGTGCTAATGCACAAACGACGTGCAGAAGCCTGTTTACTGCAAACACAGATAATGAACAGCCAAGTAATGGGGCCTCGTTAAGCTTAATATGAAAGAGCAACAAGATGTTTACGCACTCCCCCCCCCCCGAGAGTGACTTTGTTGTTTTCATCCCCACCCCCCCCCCCCCCCATCCTGCATTGTACTATGGCTTGCGTGGGCATCTCTGCGTGACATTCCATTTAATAATGATGCTTAACGGTTATTTTTGCCCCATTTAGTTAAGCACACGACCACGTTCGGGTTTACACGCTTTTCAGCCCAGAAACTTATAACTTTAGCCTTGACCCCTGCCTAACTGGACCCCACCATTGCATCACACAGCTTTTTCAAATCTTTGGTAATCTGCGGGATTCGAGCCGCAGGTCGGCGTTGAATGGCACCGTGGGCAGGTAGCCGGGTACACACGCCTTCCGCTCACTCCCACCAGAGACGGCGCCTTCACGGCCAGCCCCCATAATCCCTGCTCTCCTCCCCCCTCCAGCCAGGCTCAGCTGGTCCTCGGCGACCGGCAGGGGTGGGGGGTGGGATTTAGATAAATCAGCATGAGCTTGACTTTACAAAACTCACAAAAGAAAGGCTCCATTAACCCGCGGCCGGCGACGGTGGCTTAACGAGGAGCCCGTGACGAGCGCCTTTGTGCCAGGCTTGGCATGGCCTTCAAAGCCGTGACGCCTTCCAGGATGCTGGGGTGGTGCGTCGGCCTGCAGGACGGGCAGGAAACCACAGGACACGCAATCCGTTAAAATGCACCACCAGCCTTTAATTTGGCTGCTCTTTGATGATCCCGTGAGGTTCCGTGGCCGTGCACCACCAGGGTCCTCCGGAAACTCCTTGGGGACAGTTTGTAGCTGATGCTGCTGTAAATTACTGACCCGCGTCCCAAAACACGCCTCGGTGGCCAGACAATGAAACGTCCACTTACCCAGCTTGCCACTGTGCGCGGCTCCATTACGCACCGCTGCAAGGGAGAGTATTTACATCTTAACGCAATTATTGCATCTGACAGTGACGTTATTTACGCTGGCCTTTAACCTCGGCACGTTGGGGGGTATTGCTCAATGTAAACATTTGACTCATTTTCGGGATTTACGTGTCAATCACAGAGCCATTTTTGGACTTAAACGCTGGGGCAAAATCGGTAATGTTTTGTTCCAAAAGGACAATTTGGTTCATTGCGATTGTTGACTTTGGAAGTGACACTTTCGGGCCCAGCAGTGATACACTGATCACCCGGATCTTATAGACCCGGGTCTGATCTCACCAAGTCACGCTATTCATCAGTGTCAAGGAGACCCAGAATCCTCCACCTGACCAGCGCCCAACCAGTGCAAGACAGGCAAGTTCTTCTTGCCACAGCAGAGCTATTCAAATCACTGTCCAAACGGTCCAGCCTTCCTTTACCTGTGAGCCCCGTGTGAAGTCTCTGTGGCTAATCAGAAACAGTAATTATTAAACCAACTACCTGAAGAACTGAAAACAAGGATTTGGAATCAAGGGTCAGATTTAAAGAGCCCTGCTCTATAGTGACATTTCCTGCGCTCCTATTGGTGGAATCAAACAAACAGCTCACAGTTCTTGAAGTCTTTAGAGTGAAAAGAAGCTGACCACACACCCATCAGAAGATGGAAAGGGATGCTGGCGCCCTCCCCAGCTTCAGAGGGAGTCCTAAGTAGTCCATTCTAGATGGGCACAGAAATGCAGAAAATCTTAAAATTAGGCAATTATGAGTGGAGGACTATCGATCGCTGCATGTTAAACCAACACGACAGCACATGCCTTAATTTTATGTGTGAAATGGAATTGAGGCTTAAAGAACATGGACATGTATAGAAAAACACACTGTCCCAGCGATGGCATAACCAATGCTGGGGGGATGCCCTTAACTCTGAAACGCTTTGCTAAGCAAGTGTCGTGTTCAGGTCAATAAAAACACGCAGTCCATTTTCTGGCCGTTTTCACTTCTACTCGAGCGTTCAGTGAGTGGCTCCGGCCTGTAATTGCGTCCTCACCTCTGGAGGGGAAACCCAACCGAAACACAGCAGCCCCATCGCAGACAGACACACTCATTAGCACCCTTTCATCCCTGGAGACCCTGCCACAGAATCGAGATGGGGGCAGAAAACATTGAATTGGAGTGGCGGCATCCGGCCATCAGTGCCAGCGGGGGAGGCGGCAGCACGGGGGGAGGGGTGCGGGCTTTGTGTGGCGTTTTAAAATAAACAAAGAGCAGAATTAACGAGGCATGACTCCCGTGACTCTCTCTGGAAAAATCCCATCAGGCCTCTGTACTGACCTCTACCTGAAACCACCCCCATTTAATATATCAGAAAGCAGGCAGTCGACATGCTACAGGGTCATCTGGCTACGTTTCTCAAACGCTTTACCAGCCACCCCAGTGTTTTTTGCGGGATCAATTGTGGGTCTTAGGCAGATAAAAGGACACCACCCTCCAATGTGCTACTGTGATGCATAGTGTTCCATAGTTTCTGATTTTCTCACTATAACTGTGCTGGGTTATGCTGTTCTATTTTGCAGCATTTTATTTTGTAGTTTCATGTTTAGTGATTGTATTCATTTGGGTATACAGGAACCTAGGGCAGCTATGGGGTCCTAGAGGGGAAAAAAAGTGTGTTACAAATGCAGCAGGAAAAGTTGTGGTTGTGTGCGATGTTTGTCATTTGTTTTTAGAATGGAGATAATTACATATATGTTTTATAATTTCTACATGCCTGGTAGTCTTGTGATTTTAATCCCATGAGAAATATTTTGTTCCTCCTGCAGGCTGTGGTTTAGCAGGCAGGCTCTCATAGAGTCCTTCTGGAGGTCATACGCAGTAAATTGATGGCCTTTTTTCAGTCGCCTTCAGGTGAAATAAAGACGAGCGAGAATAAATTGCCATCATAGCTAAATCAGCTTAGCTGCAGTCTAGCAAGCCTGCCAGTAGGTAGTTAATTCGTCCTGGGAGCAGCAAAATGAAGAGCAAAATTACCAACAAATTAATACTCAAGAAAGCTCTCACAGAAAAAAAAAAATAATTTAAGGCCTTATTCAACAAAATTGTTAGGCTAAGCTACAGGCATAACCAAATTTAACAGATTAAAGAAACGGGCAGCAAATTCTGGCAGCTGTACGCATCCAATAAGTGGTGCTTCATTATTTTGGGTATGAAAAATGTAATTACTGAGCAGCCGTTTTGTGTAATTTTGTTGAGCAAGATTGGCTATTGGAGGGAAGGCTTGTCAGGCTTCTCCAGGGAGCTACCAGGGAGGTTGGGGCCAAATGGTCAATTACAGGCTGTTCATGGAAGTTTCTCCGTAGCCTCAGGCTCTGAAATATGAAGAAATGACCCAATAAAAATGTGCATTTTCACCATATGGGGCCTGAACAATATGCACGTTTCACAGGCACAATCCGTAGACGGCTATAGTGTGATGCCGACATGTCCTTGATGGGGGGGGGGGGGGGGTCGAGAGAATCCGTCGGAGAGGTTATGAACAGAATTGCTTACGATGGCGCCGGCGGGCACTTTACGAGCCTCTTAACTCCCAGGGCGTTTGGGGTTTCATTGCAGACAGGTGCACCTAAGCTGAGCAAAACGTAAAAAGTGCCACAAGATCAGAATATTATTGGAATGTGAGGAAAGTGGCCGTGGGAGTCTCTGGGAGGTGCGAACAGCCCGGCCCGCTTAACCCATGCCCCGCCTGGTTCATCGCGGATGTACACCTGGTCACGGAGCCGGGAGTGCTCTGCCAAGCTAACCCCTTCCCCTCCACTACTCTCGACAGGTGGCTGGGATCCCATCCAGCCTGACGAGAGCTCAAGATACACCCATGCCAAGATCTGATTGAGAAAAATCATTGTACTGGTGGTAGTTGGCATATGTAGGAAATCAGTCAGGGTTAGGAACTGGGGGCTACATCAGCTCAGTGCTGCCCCCCAGGGGCAAACACGAGCATTTTCTTAGCTGGCCAATTAGAATTTAATCATTATTTAGCCTGCAATGCACCCACCTTCCTTCCAAACACGTGACGAGTTCCCAAACACTCCTTAGAAGGGTTTACCTTCACGTGCGCTGCAAATCAGGGCAAACGTGCTTTCTATTTTAGGAGAACATCATGCGTGTTCGGGAACGGCGTACGGACGGGAGTTAATTTCACAGAAAAGCACTCGTTTCAATGTGGGCATTTCTGCCACAAAGAAGAAAAACTAGACATGCAAGACAGCATAATGTTAGCAGATGGGATTAGGCCAGTGACTTTGATCTGAAAATCTTAGTAAGAGCAGCAAGAGTCAATAACATTATCTGTCAAGAGCAAAACTGCACAGAAAACACTGCCATTACCCAACCCAAATCATTACTTATAGAAACCACTTTGATATGTCCCAGAATTTCCTGGCTTGGAAGCAGCCCGCCACCATGTCACAGCGGAGAAGGAGCACCTGTGTGTGGGGAGCACAGGGTCACAGCAAACACTGGCG